ATTCAGAAATTAGAATGATATAAAAACTTCTATTTTGATAAGTCATGCTTCCATGCCATGTCCATCCACGTCATTCTGCTATGCCCACCGTAAGCGTTTTTATATAGTTTTTTTTTATCTTTTCAATGTTTCTTAATACAGATTCATGTAAAAACAAATATGCATGTGTATTCTCTCCTTTTCTTATGCAAAATATAACATATATATTGACCTCAGTAATTTGTTTTTTTTCAGTTAATATATATTGGAAATCTCTCCCTGTTAGTATATAGAGAACTTTTTTACGTATGCATATTTACCCTGTGTGGATGTACTGCAAGTATATTCAACCAGTCACCTATTGTTGAACGCATGGTTGTTTGCAGTTTCTTACTCTTGGCAACGAATAACTTTACATATATTTCTGTTGTTTCTATTAATCAATAAAGCAGATATTCTGTTTGTAGAAGAGTCAGTAGAGTCTTAGACTAGGAAAGGACTTTGGAGAGTTCTTTTTACAATTAGAGAAATTGATGTCCAGAGAGGTCAAATGAAAAGGGTCACATCAAATGTCTGATCAGGGTTTCTAGAATATGACTGTTGTGAAATAAGTTGGCATAGTGCAAGGTTAGTTCATTCTGAAGTCAGGCATACTGGATTCAAGTCTTAGATCATGCACAAAAAAGGCTGTGTGACCTTGGGTTAGTTTCTTAAGTTTGACTTGCAGTTGATCTGTAAAATGGGCCTACATTCCTAGCAAGGTCATTATGAGAATTAGAAAAAATACATGTAAAGGACTGTAGTAGTCACATCATAGGTGCTCAAATGGTAGCTGCTGTTGTCACTTTTATACTACAATAAAATTTTCAGTAGCAACTTAGTAGCTTTCTAACCTGGGAAAGGTGATCTTTTCAAGCTCTAATTCTGTCTGTTCGAATTGGTTAGTTTTGAGCATGAGATTATGAAAAGTTTAGGGTAATATCAGTGGGTATAGAGATAAAAGGCAGATACTGATGACTTTTTGGTCAAAGAATTTACTTACCTTGGTAATTGACAGTGTATAGGAAATGACGAAAGTTGATAGCGAAGTCACAAACTGAGTAGTACCTCTGTTAAAAGTCAAAGAATTGGAAGGAGGAGTTTGATGGACAAGTTGACAGGTTCATATGGGAACATAATTTGAGGTGATAATAAGTAGCCAAGTGAAATTAATCTATAATTTTTTCAAGATATGACTAGGCTGCTTTTAAGGTGGTAAGTGCTAAGGCAGAGATTTGCATTGGTATCTGCTTAAGTAATCTGGAAAATCTTTAGATTACAGAGTTGAATGTCGAAGAAATAATGGATTGTTATATTCAAATTAAATGCTTTTCTTTTCTAGACTCTGTTACGGCACGGTGCAAATCCAGATCTGAGAGATGAAGATGGGAAAACTCCGTTAGATAAAGCTCGAGAAAGGGGTCATAGTGAAGTAGTAGCTATTCTTCAATCTCCAGGTAAGTGGTAAATTCTTTCCTTTGAAGCCCTGTACTGTTATTCTTCAGGTTTACTTCTATAGGAGTAGCTTTTTGTGTACACATTAATGTTATATAAATGAACTATTCTTATGAGATCAAATAATTATATATGTATAGCCTTATATTTGATAAACCTTTAAGAGCTTACTCTTCTGTGTTCTTGGAGACTGCCTGATTCCAGAATGAGCAAAACCTAAAGTTCAAGGAATGTGGAAATGTCAGATAAAGAATAATTGGGTATTGTGTAGATTAAATAGTTTGACCAGATTTTTAAGTTTTCACAGAGTTGATGAATGCAGAGCCTCTGTGAGATAATTTTTGGAATCAAGTGGAGTATCGAAAATTATCCCTTAATTTGTTATTGAGCTCACTGAAGGTATAATGTTCTTTAGTATTCTTACAAACACCATTGCTACAGTGTCCTAATTTCAATTTATTGTTAATTAGCAATAATTATAGTTTGAAGTTGGATATATCTTAAGGTTTTTTTTCCTTGAAAGAAAAAGTTTCCAAAAAAGAATTTCTTTGAATAATACTTGTCTGCAGGTGATTGGATGTGTCCTGTTAATAAAGGAGATGATAAGAAAAAGAAAGATACAAATAAAGATGAAGAAGAATGTAATGAGCCCAAAGGAGATCCAGAAATGGCACCTATATACTTGAAAAGGTTATTGCCAGTGTTTGCACAAACATTTCAGCAAACTATGTTGCCTTCAATAAGGTAGTTATTCATACTATTTGTGTGTGTTAGTTTAAATTATAACAATTATATGATTTTGTTTATCTCCCTTTCCAGAAAAATTGAAGGTTTATTTTAACATTAAAAAGATATGGTGAGAATAAAAATTAGATTGGAAGTGGAAAAGTCATATTTTTTCTTCTGATGATTGACTGAAGAGAAGGGATTTAGAAAATAAAGAGGACTAAATTTTTAACACATTTTTTGTAGTCCTCTGAATATTAACTCTCTAGAGAAATTTTGATAAGAATTGCAAATATTTATTGGGCTTTATGGAGGCTTGTTTTTAGGGTAAGTGTGAGATGGCCACTAGAGGAATTAAACAGATAAATGATTTATTTATATATATGATCATTTATATATTTATGTGCATATAAATTATATATATATATATGTATATTTTTTTAGAGATGGAGGCTTGCTGTGTTGCCCAGGCTGGTCTCGAACTCCTGGGCTCAAGTGGTCCTCCCACCTCAACCTCCCAGTGCCCAAGAATTATATTTTTAAATCATCATGTCACCTTCCAGTTTGAACCCTCCATAGCTTCTAATTGGCCTTAACGCAAACTCAACTCAGTAACCCTCAGGCTGGCAAGGTCTTACATAATTCCCACCCAGCTCTTTGACCTCGTTGAGTACTATTTAACACCTGGCCCATTACACTTACATTATGCTAGCCTTCTTTCTATTTTTAGAAGACTCCAAGTACATCCCTACCTTAGAGGTTTTCCATCTGCTTGAAACTTTCTATCTCCAGATCTTCTGAATGGGTGGTTGCTTCATACCACTCTACTGAAATTTGTCCGCCTAATTTAAATTCACCCCTAATAAACCTTTTACATCAATAATGTTTGCCTTCACAGAGCTTATACTATCTGAAAAATTGTGGGTTTTTTTGTTTATTATCTTGTCTCTGTAAAGTAAGTGCCATGAGAACTGGTCTTGTATACTGCTATATTCCTACAAAGACAAGGAAGTATAGAATATAGCCTGATACTTAGGTTCTCAGTAGATATTTACTGATGAGTGTTTTGTTAGCAATTGCAAGTATTTTGATATTAATGAAGTACAGAATATATTTGGAAAGTTCATTGAATAATGTTCCAAAGGTAGACAGGAGTTTTTCATGACCTATGAATGCCTTTGTGGGCTACGTTAATGATCGTGGTCTTTACCTCACAGTTAAAGGAGGATTATTAAAGACCCATGAGGAAATTTGACACAGCCAAATTTCTGATTTATACAGATCACTTTGACAGCCTGGTGGAGACAAGGAGTGGAGAAAGGGAAGAATGGAACCAGACTACTTAAGGGTTCATTGCAGTAGGAACTTCAGACAGTAGCAGAGAGACTGGATTCGTGGGAACAAATTCAAGAGGCTGTGTAGGGATTGGTGACCAATTAGATGTGAGGGTTGAAGGAAGGAACGGGTGATGGATGACTACCAGGTTTTTGGCTGAGTGACTACGAATTTGATTTTGGTCATTTTAAGTTTAGGAGGTCTGTAGAACATGTAGTTTTGAAGATTCAAGTGCCTCAAATACCAGTATTATGAGCTAACATTAAAATATGAGCAGTTTGCTTTAAATAGGAGAGATAGCAAAATAATTCACTGTGAACATTTGATAGCTTGGTTTTTAATTCTCACCCAAATAGCTACAGAAGTATAGGTGTTAGTGGGGCCACTTTTTTCTTTTTTGACAAAAGAATTATCTTAAGACGTGAACAATTTTGAACAAGATAATTCGGTTTGAATATTTTAGAGGTCTGGCTGTCATGCTAATAAAAGAATCTTAAGAAGCATTTGGAGTAGAACTGCTTTGTGATAAGGCCATCAGAAAATTGTAAAGTATGCCATCAAATAGAGTTCCCTTATTGGGTGATTATTTTCTATCATCCTTTTAAATGTTTGGAGATTTTAGCTTTAGGGCTTTTGATGCTAAATTATCCCAGGTAATAATTAGCAGACACATTTAATTGTGGCTAGGAAGACAGCATATATCTTAGTTAAGAACTCAGGCTCTAGAATCAGTTCAAAGTGAGTCCAGGCTGGGCATGGTGGCTCACACCTGTAATCATAGCACTCTGGGGGACCAGGGTGGGAGGATCGCTTGAACTCAGGAGTTCGAGACCACCCTGAACAAGAGCAAGTCTCTACTAAAAAGAGAAAAATTAGTGGGCATGGTGGCATGTGCCTGTAGTCCTAGCTGCTCTGGAATCTGAGGCAAGAGGATTACTTGAGAGCGCAGGAGTTTGAGGTTGCAGTGAGCTATGATGACGCCACTACACTCCACCCAGGGCAACAGAGTGAGAGACTGTCTCAAAACAAACAAACAAACAAACAAACAAAAAACAAAGTGAGTCCAAATGCTAGCATTGCCAGTTTCTAGAAAGGCGGGCCATGGGCAAGGTACTTAACTTCTTGATCTCAATTGTTTCATCTCAAAGACGAGGATAATTATACTTAATTCTCTTTAAGTATGAGAATAAATTAAATATGGCCTGAGTGCGGTGGCTCACGCCTGTAATCTCAGCACTTTGGGAGGCCAAGGCAGGAGGATTGTTTGAGACCAGCCTGAGCAACATAGCAAGACCCCGTCTCTACAAAAAATTAAAAAATTAACTGGGTGTGGTGGCATGCACCTATAGTCCCAGCTATTCAGGAGGCTGAGGCAAGAGGTTCACTTCAGCCTAGGAGTTTGAGGCTGCAGTGAGCCTTCATCATGCCAGCACACTTCAGCGTGAGTGAGAGCGAGACCCTATCTCTAAAGAAAAGATTTTTAGGCTGGGTGCAGTGGCTTATGCTTGTAATTCTGGCACTCTGGGAAGCCAAGGTAGGAGGATTGCTTGAGCTCAGGAGTTTGAGACCAGCTCTGAGTAAAAGCGAGACCCTGTCTCTACTAAAAAAATAGAAAAAATTAGCCCAGTTTTGTGGCGCATGCCTGTAATCCCAGCTACTTGGGAGGCTGAGGCAGGAGGATTGCTTGAGCCCAGGACTTTGAGGTTGCACTGTCTCAAAAAAAAAATATGTATGAAGTATTTAGCATAGTGTCTACTATATTAGAGGTATTTGAAAAATGGTAGTTCATTTTTTGGAATTATTTACCTATATTAAAAGCAGAGGAATAGATTACAACCTAATTTTTTCCTATTTCAGTTTAAAATTTTGTCAGAAGAGTAAACATAACTCTGATTCAAACAGTTAAAAGAGTATCTATACATATTGACCTTAGCTATTATTATCTACAGGGTGTCCCAAAAGTCTTCATACAAAGAAAAATTTTGTAATGAATATTTTGTAAATAAAGGTACCTTTAGCTACAGTTTCCCATTTTCCCTTTATATGCCAACTTTTGGGACACCCCATATATTGACCTATGTACTGTCTGTTTAGAAAATAAAGGCAGACAACAGAATAAGTTAAGGCTTCAAAATAGCATAGCAGTATCAATGGTGGAGTAGTTTGTAAAAACCTGATTATTCTCTCTGTAAGATATTAGACTGAGGACTTTTCCACTTTCTTTTAAAAGAAAGCTACTTAGAATTTTGAAGAGGTGTGGTAAGTAAACATCTTAGGAGTTTATGTAAATAAGTGGATGAAGATTAAGTCTACTTTTTAGCAAACCAGAGATCCTAGGGCCTAGGAAATCCTTTTTCTTTCTTTTTAAAAAAAAAATGATTTGAGGGAGAAAAGTAGACTTGGTTGGATAAAGGGGGAAATTATTCTTTGATGAGAATGAAATAATCTAAAGATATAAATTCTTCCACAATTAATTTATAGGTTATACAGTTCTAAAGAAAATAACTACAGAATTTGTTTTAGAACTTGTCAGATCCCAAAGTCCATCTGGAAGAATAAATAGGTGAGATTATTAAAAAAAATATGAAAAACTAGTGTCAACCTTTAGTAATGAAATCTTTATGATAACTAGCAGCAGAGTATGTAAATCAATGGAATAAAATGGTTCCTCATATAGAGCCAATTATATATAGGAATTGAATGTGTTATAATAGAGGTTTCTAAGATCAGAGGAGAGAGTTATTTATTAAATGGTACCAGAATATCTGCTTTATAGTTTGATTTAAAAAATCCTTAGTCCTTTATATTCTAAATCTAAACAAATTCTAGAGAATTTAACATAAGTTTTTTAAAAAAGCTTAAGAAAACAAAAAATGTATACTTAAATGTTTATCAGACCTTAATA